AAAGAAAGAAAGAAAGAAAGAAAGAAAGAAAGAAAGAAAGAAAGAAAAACAGTCAAACTTAAAAACATGTAAAGCCAACCTAGTGTAAGCATCTTACTAATGAAGGACACTAAGTGGGACTTAATGATAAATTGTGGCAATGTGAGTGCATCTCCAAGAGAGGCTTCTGTCTTCCTCAATAAGCAAGATCTAAGTGTCCACCATGGGACAAAAGTTAGTCACCCACAAAAACAACCTCAAGATTTACAATCATTGTTTTATACAAACTTAACACAGGGGTTACAAAACCTCCTTAGTCTCTAGAAGATTAGAGCCTAAAGAAAACAAAGTAGGTCCTCCTCCCCTTTCCCTTCCTTGTCATCCTCTTTTCTTTTTTAAAGTGAACTCTCACAATTCCAGCAGAAAGAGCAATATAGAACACAGGTCAATGCTGAAAGACACATGGAAGCTCTAGCTTATTTTAACAGACAGACACAGCCACACTTCTATAAAGAAACGCCAAAGGGCCAGTGAGATAAAGACACTTGCCACCAAGCAGAGAACCTGAGTTCAATGCCCAGGACCAACAAGTATACAAGGAAAGAAGACATTTCTAAAGTTCCACAGGCATGTGCATACAGAGAGGGCATGAAAGGATCTGATACTGAGAATAAAATGAGTTAAGTTTCAAAGAAAATGTACACTTGAAATAGCAAGTACATATCTTTCACTCATTCTAAATTCTCTTTTTTTTTTTTTTTTGGCAAGAAAATAGAAAAAGTATTGTACAATGGACAGAAGAGTCACAGTGTTTCTTGGAAACTTCGGATTTACTCAGGGACAAGCTATGTCTGGGTTGGATTTTGCCTCTTTGAAAAGACATAGCTGGCCAGATGCACACAGAAGAGCCACCCAAGTTCCCGTGCCTCCGCTCTGCGCCTTCAAGGGCTAAAAATAAACTTTACCCATTCGCCGAACTCAAAATGACTCAGCAAAGTATGGTAGATATTCTTTTTTTGTAATAAAAAAAGCCCCTTTACAGAGCTTTGGTTACAAGAAACAGATTTCAGTTAGGATGATAAATTGTAAATACCCACAGTTACTTTCTATCTGCAGAATATCCCAGTCTTTAAGAGGGAAAAGAGAAACTACGCCAGAGGACAGCTGCCTCTTACTTACAGCTCTAAAAAGCAGGCAGACAATATGTTGTTCAACAGTGGTAGACTGCACAATCCCATCACTGAGGTCTGCTTACCATAACGGTCAAGGTATGATGAGGTCCGCAATTATAGTCCATTTCTCCAGGATACTGAAACTAACACGGCTGTCAGCTGACACGCTGCATACTGTCTTGTACAACAAGCCTATGTCACTGGTTGCAAACCTGGGGCTATCTCCAGTGCAGAACATGGAACCTCTGGGGACTGCTTACCAAACTACTTTCAACCTCTAAAATAGGCTACCATTTTCCAGGCCTGCAGAATGGCCATGACAACCTGTGAGCATGGTATTCATATTATCTTTTAGTTAGAATAAACTACATAGACATACAACTAGTCACACATGAAAGATATACATACACACACACACAAACAATACACAATACTATCATTCACTCATAGAATATATGTATATATCTTTACATATAAAAATACCTATGTTTTCAAATATAAGCAGCATAAGAAACAGTACCTTACTCCTTCCTGTGTGTAAATTAAGCTTTACTAACCAGGTTTCTGTTTTCTTTCCTTAGCTAATGTGTTTTTTTACCTACATGTGTACACACACACACACACACACACACACACGTATGCCACCACTGCCAGACTGAAAGTACAGTCTTAAATTTTCCATTTGAGTGCCAGAGGGCAGCCCCTTCCTCCAGTAGTACTAGTGACTCATGCTGTCCAGCACTTGATCCTTAGTAATGGGGACACATGTACTTGTAGAATGCCAACTCCTGGCTCCACAGACCATGCCTGCTAAAGCACCAGTCCTGTGCGGACAGGAATCATTCCTACTCTGCTATAGCTGCATCATACCACAAATAAGATCAGCAAAACTTCCCAGTGAACTCTGCTAACCTACAGAGTTGAAATCAAACAGTGAGCCCCACACTGCCCAGGGCTCTTTTAGTTTTACAGATTAGAATCCAGAGCTGGAAGGGGAATGAAAAGACCAAGGCAAGGTGTAGGAAAAATGGCTACTAGTGACAGCACACAGGAGAGCCAAGGACCAGCTTCAGACTTTAATGCCTGAAAGTTTGAAAACCCTTACAAAATATGGAGCTGTCACTGCTAAGCTAATAAACAGAAGACTACCGACTGAGAAGACTGAGCATATAGAGCCAGCTCACAAATTCTTGCCATCAGGGCCAAGAAGCAGTACAAAAATTTAAAATCCCCAAACCAAATCTCTTTGCTCTAAGGCCCCAATGAGGATTGACAGTTCCCATTTTTGAACACAGTAGAATCTCCAGAGTGCCTCTAGCTCTTACATCATGTACTCTTTAGTACAGATTAGGAGAGAAACATCTGCTGAATGAACAACGTGCCATACGCAGGGAGGACTGCACACTGTTGGGGTGGTGCACTTATGGGGAGGAGGGGTTCAGTGTGGGGCAGCACACAGCTTAGTGGTGGAGTACCTGCCTAGGCATGTGGGCCCCAGGTCCCAGTCCAGCACTGCATTCCCTATCCGCTCAAAAAAGAGGCTACCAACATCTGCCATAAGTGATGATAAAATAATACCATCAGCCAAGCACAGTGACACATGTTTGAGATGCCAGCCACCAGGAGGGTGACATTAGAGGATGCTCAATTTGAGGGCAGCCTGGTCTATACAATGAGATACTTTCTTTAAAAAAAAAAAAAAAAAAAAAAACAAAACCACCAAAAACAAAAAATGACCTTGCTTATTCACTAATTAATTTATTTTTGAGGCAGGTCTTATTCTGTAGTCCAGGCTGATCTTAGACTTACCAGCTTCCAGTCCCAGCATCCCAAATGCTGTGATTACAGATATGACCCACCATGCCTGGCTGGAGGAGACATTTTCATCTATGAAGTATGACTAGGGAAGGTTACTAATATGAATGAAAACTGTTGTACTGAGAAAGCTTACGTTTCCTCCTGGCCAGGTTCACAGTTTTTGTCAAATACCAGAATCTAAGACTTCAATCTAGTCAATGGTTCAGCACATAGGCTAGAAAAGGTACTGCAAAGAATACATAAGAGCCTATTAGCATAGTGGAACACACCTTTAATTCCAGCACTTGGGAGACAGAAGTAGGTGGGACTCTGAGTTCTAGTATAACTACACTTAGCTACATAGTAAGATACTATCTCAACAAAACAACATACACACACACATACACACGCGCGCGCAGAGGAAGAGGGGAACAGTGATAGAAAAGGTTGAAAGATTCAATAGTGTCTTAGTTAGGGTTTTACTACTATGAACAGACACTATGACTATGATATCTCTTATAAGGACAACATTTAATTAGGGCTGGTTCAGAGGTTCAGTCCAGTATCACCAAGGTAGGAGCATGGCAGCGTCCAGGCAGGCATGGTGCAGGAGGAGCTGAGACTTCAACATTTTCATTGGAAGGCTGCTTGAAGACTGGCTTCCAGGCAGCTAGGATGAGGATCTTAAAGTTCACACCCACTGACATACCTACTCCGACAAGGCCACACCTTCTAATAGTGCCATTCCTTGGGCCGAGCATATACAAACCATCACAATTAGTAAGAGAATAAATATCTCAAATCTGACAATTACTAATAACTCTTTAAGAATGAAAAAACTGAATTTAAACAAAATTTTAAATGTTGAAAATAAAGTTGCAAAGAAATACAATTCACTGCCATTTACATGAGACTGAAGAACATATAAAGTAATCCTGAGTGAGGAAAGCAAACGTGGGGAAGGAGAGGAGGGCAAGAGGCTCAGGCTCTGAAGGCTGCGTAACTGCCCCTCATCCTGCTCTCCTGCACAGGCATGTCTCCATGTCCTTTGCTACTGAACTTGCAGAGTTTTAGAACAGCCCCTCCTGCTTGCTTTTCTCAGGTCCTCGCTTTTCAATATTTGAAAAATCGGAAATTTCTGCAGAAACCTCAGTTTTCCACCCTTCCTGGAGAGAGAAGCTCCGGGCTCCATCCATACACAGCGTGAAAGCATTCGACTATCTAAGGATACTCAGCCACCTGCCCTCAGGCTACCAGGAAGTGCTCACACTCCATCCATCAGATGGGTACCTTCCTGTGGTTCCTTTCCCCAGGCACAGGAAACTCTACTCCTAGGGGTACTCAGACCACAGACACCCTGTCTTCTTCCTGGACTATCTTCCTTTTCTTTACTCTCATCCACTCTGGTCAGCTCTGTCCTCAATATAGAGCCTAACTGGTCATCTGCCATAGGGCCACTGCACCAGCTGCTATTTTGCCTTGCTTTCTTAGACAGTATCAATGTAGTGCAGGACGTTCCCCAACACAGGATCCTCTGCCTCCACACAGTTCCTTCATCAATTTTATCTAGTCTGCACTTTGCCCAGGTAGCCAGTTCATCACTGTCAAGTCTCTAGGCAGCAGCCATAAGCTATAAGCATTTAAGTCATGCTGTATTATCCTGTTCTCCAAACCCTCCAATACTTCAGAGTTTCTCAGAAGAAAGCCAAAGACTCTTAGGCCATCCATACATCAGTTCCAACCGTGCACCCAGGAAAAGAAGGCCCCAGACAGGGTTGGCTGGGACAACACTGCAGCTTTGAGTGTTCTCTGCTCCTGGACTGGTTGTTCTCTCACCTCTTTTTTTGTTTTTTTTTTTTTTTTTAAAGATTTATTTATTTTATATATGTGAGTACACTGTCGCTGTCTTCAGATACACCAGAAGAGGGCATCGGATCCCATTACAGATGGTTGTGAGCCACCATGTGGTTGCTGGGAATTGAACTCAGGACCTCTGGAAGAGTAGTCAGTGCTCTTACCCGCTGAGCCATCTCTCCAGCCCCCTCTCTCACCTCTTATAATGTGAAAATAGTATCCAGACAGCGAGTTCACACTTTTGCCACTTTATCAATCCACATGTGTGACTGCCTAATCACACCATCTTTCTCTGCTGTCTGTACACCAAACTGCATCACAGTAGGGACGGACACATACATTGGATACTCCAGAATTCATGATGAGCTGGGGCTAGGATGGCCACTCTCACCACATGGATGCTATAGCAGGGCTGGAAATAATAAGAACATAATGGCTGCCAAGTAGGGAAAAAGGCATTGGGAGACTTTAGGTTATTAGGGACAATGGCTTTATCTGTTGTTCACAGTCCTTAGTTCAGGGTCCTCTTTCAGCCCACAGCTTCAGTGAGACATTCCTATATCTTATCCCTATAGATACCCTATTTTTTAAAAAAATCAGATGAAGAATGTTCTTGCTCTGAGTAATGCAACGGTAGCTATGATAGAGCCATAAATTATGGTCTGGATCTGGAAGATACCTCAGGGACTCATATGTGTGAGGACATGCCCCTGGCTTGCAGTGCAATTTAACAAAGTTATGGAGCCTTTGGAACATGGTGCCCATGAGCAGGCCTTTGAAGGCTGCTAGCCTGACTAAACTTTGGCCTCCTTATCCTCCAAAAGCTAACAAACCAAGTCTCACGTTCTCCTGGCACCACAATCTGCTCCACACCATGTCATTGCCACCAAGATGTAATTTAATCCCCTAAACCCTGAACCCAAACACTTCTTCCCTAAAGCCAGAGTTACTGGATTCTGCAGTGTCCTGACTTCAGGGAAGAGTAACCAGCACTGTCCACAGAACTGTCCCAAGAGGATGTGGTATATGAGCAGCAACTTCAGACAGTTTATAATTTTAAAAGTCCAAAAGAAGGGGAAGAGAAAAAGAGCTGGGAAGAGGATTCCCATGATGGAGAGGTTCTTAAAGAGAAGAAAAGAAGGGCTGGAGAGATGGCTCAGCGGTTAAGAGCACTGACTGCTCTTCCAGAGGTCCTGAGTTCAATTCCCAGCAACCACATGGTGGCTCACAACCATCCGTAATGGGATCTGATGCCCTCTTCTGGTGTGTCTGAAGACAGCTACAGTGTACTCATAGAAATAAATAAATAAATAAATAAATAAATAAATAAATAAATAAATAAATCTTTAAAAAAAAAAAGAGAAGAAAAGAAGAAACGTCATCCTTACCTCAGAAACGTCATCCTTACCTCCAAAGAGCACAGTCAAATTCACAATGGAAATCTAGGGTTAGAGGTTGTGACCCCAGGTGATGTGGTAGTGTGGAGGATACTGTATTAGTAAGGGTCCTCTAGAGTCACAGAACTTATGGAAGTCTCTCTATATTGAGGGAATTGATTGTGATGACTTACAGGCTGTAGTCCAACTACCCAAACGATGGTCAGCTATGAATCGGAAGCCTAAGAATCTAGTAATTGCTCATCCCCACAAGGCTTGTTGTTTCAGCTGGTCTTCTATATAAACTGGAATCCTGAAGAAGTAGGTTCCAACTGATGTGCTGGCAAGTAAATGCAAGCAGGTGAAGAAGAGATCTTCCTTCTTCCAATGTCCTTACGTAAGTCTCCAGCAGAAGGTGTGGCCCAGATTAAAGGTGTGTACCACCACGCCTGGATCTGGGACTTGTTTTGTCCTAGGCTGACCTTGAACTCAGAAATCTCCTTGTCTTAGTCTCCTGGAATTACAGATGTGTACTACCTTGCCTGGGCCTAAGCTTTTCATGGCCACTATCCTCAGCATCTCCATGTCAAGATCCAGGTCAGAAACTTGTGTCTTCCAGCCTCAAGGTCTGGATCACAGGTGAGCCCTCCAATTCTGGATTATAGTTCATTTTACATATAGTCAAGTTGACAACCAGGAATAGTCATTACAGATTCCCAGGCAGGAAAGAGGGTTTTTATAGACAATTGTGAGTTGGCAGAGAACATAGTAGAAGGTGGGTTAACAGGACAGGACAGGGCAAGACAGGAACTGGGACAAGGACTAACATGGAACAAGTAAGGCGTGTGCAGCAGATACAGCCAGATGAGTAAATTACACAGGTCATCAGATGAAGCAAACTGCCAAGTACATTAGACCACGGAACACCTTGCTTCAGGAAGAAGTCTGGAGGCTGGGACCCTCTCAATCCAACCTTCCACTGTGATAGTATTTAAAACCATACCATCTCATCAAAAAATCATTTTGAGTATTAAGATTTCAAAGATTTCATCTTAAGAGTGGGTGACAAAATATGAATTGATAGTATTTGTTTAAACAGATGATCACATTCTAAAGCAAATTTAGCAGAATGTATTTCTATATAAAGATCTTTTAAAAATTAAGCTCATCTTCTAAAAAACGAAAACAAATCTGAATTATAAACAAATATGGTACTCAGGGCATAAGGAGTCCTAGTCCCCTTCTAGGAATACATCCAAAAGAAGCAAACACATGACAAAGGCACCACACACAGTATCCAGACAGCACAGTGAAAACCAGGTCCAGGTCAGCTACTGAGCAGTGACCACTGTGTTACAATGCTGTTGCAATATTGTTTGATGAAATTCAACAGGATGACATAACAGTTTGTTTGTTTGTTCTTGTTTAAAAGACAGAGTTGGGATCCATAGATCAGCAGCAGAGCTCTCACAGAGCACATTCAAGGACCTGAGTCTAAAACAATGGTGTATTACTAATTAGACTACTACACACAAAAATATTTACATATATATTGGTTTTCATTGTTGTTTTATTTGTTTGTTTGTTTTTGAGACAGGGTTTCTCTGGATAGTCCTGGCTGTCCTGGAGCAAATTCTGTAGACTAGGCTGGGCTTGAACTTAGAGATCCAACTGCCTCTGCTTCCCAAGTGCTGGGATTAAAGGCATGCACCACCAGCAGCCTACAAATATATATTATAAAACAAAATGTAAGGCCATGCATGGTAGGCATGCCTTTAATTTTAGTACTCAGAAAGCAGAGGCAGGCAGATCTCTGTGAGCCTGAGGCCAGCTTGGACTGCACACTGAGTTCCAGGCCAGGCAGGGATACATAGTAGAACCTTGCCTCAAAGAGAGAGATAGATAGATAGATAGATAGATAGATAGATAGATATCCCAAATATGAAAGAGTTTATAAAGTAAAGATGTTAGCTTCTCTATGGTAAGATGAGTAGTTTATTTCTAGGTTGTTTTTGTCAAGTTGTTATATTGTAAAAAGGGTACTCCACTCCCCATAAGCAGTAGAAAACATAAACTTACTTCATCAGAAGCAGAGCGCAGACACTGGACAGCAGCCTGCTTTTTCATCTCCTCTAGTGTTAGATCGGAACACTTCTTCTTACTCCTTCCCCATTTCTTATAAGCTCCTTTCTCCCAGCCCAAGATGTCATTCTCCTGCAATGAGATTGTACCAAGTTAGATGACTAGGAATAAAAAGCCAGTTTAAGGAGCCTTGCACAAAATGGCTTACATGTACTGTCTTAGTTAGGGTTTTGCTAGTATGAACAGACAGAAACCATGACCAAGGCAACTCTTATAAGGAGAATTCTCAATTGGGGCTGGTTTACAGGTTCAGAGGTTCCGTCCATTACCATCAAGGTGGGAGCATGGCAGCATCTAGGCAGGCATAGTTCAGGAGGAGCTGAGAGTTCTACATCTTCATCTGAAGGCTGCTAGTGGAAGACTGACTTCCAGGCAACTAGGGTAAGGGTCTTAAGCCCAGTGACACACCTACTCCAACAAGCCCATACCTCCTAATAGTGCCACTCCCTGGACATATACAAACCATCACATGTACATTTCCTATTAAATACTCACCCACAAGACGAGCACCTTGGAACCCAGCACTCACTTGGAATGTTTAAATAGATTACTTATCATCTCAGTAACCTGACTCCTTGCAGTGGTAAGAAATGCTGACTGGCAAACAAGTCAACTCATGCTTGTGGATAAACAAAAATCTAATATAAATTCTATGCTACACACTAAATTCTCCAATAATTTCTACTTTTCAGTAAAATATTCAAGTTATGCCAGGCAGTGGTGGCACACACCTTTAATCCCAGCACTTGGGAGGCAGAGGCAGGCAGATTTCTGAGTTCGAGGCCAGCCTGGTCTACAGAGTGAGTTCCAGGACAGCCAAGGCTACACAGAGAAACCCTGTCTCGGAAAACCAAAACAAAAAAAAAAAAAAAAATTCAAGTTATGGTAAGGTTTTACATCTTAAGAGTTAAATGGTTAAATTCCTATTCCTCTACCTTGCTTTCTAAAAACACCCAACAGATGTAAAACATTTTATAGGGATTGCCAGTTTTATATTTTCCATGGCTTATGTATGTCAGAATAAAAAATCCAAAGTCAATTTCAGAAGCAAGAAGGCAGAAGGGGGACAATAGCCATGACATCATCAAACAGTAAAAACCAGAAAACTCGGTGTGCTAGGGTTAATTTTCCATGTGCATTTAAAGGATGCCTCTATGATTCAACAGTAGTGCTTGCATAATTTTGTATCTGACCATTACCCATGACACAAATTCTTTGGTGATATACTACTGCAATGTAAGTTTACTTAGCTCTTCCCCTAAAGCAGAAACTTATGAAATCACTTTCTATCCCTGTGCTAGTCTGCGTTGCTTGCAGGCCCTTCATCTGACAGAGACTGAACAGTAGAAAGATGGATATGAAAAAGAGCAGACGGGGCAGGTGATGACGGGATGAGGGAAGTTCCTCGTCAGACGGGCCCGGGTCTTGGGAAAGAAACAAAAGCAAATGTTGGGTATGGGTTATAGAAGGAAAAGAACCACAACTATACAACTAATCCGTCTTTTAAAGAGCAGAATGCAAAGTATCAACTGCCAACCCAATTTTCACTTTGATCCAAAACATAAAAGTGAGACTCTTAGGCTGCCAAATATGCGTAGGAGCAGACTGCCCCGTAGGTCACAGACTCAGAACCTGCAATAGGCATTTGCTGGCCTTGCTTTTAGATCTCATTTTTTAGGTGAATGATGTTATAACTAATTTTCCAAGGAAGCAATTCTGTTGGCCAAGTGAGAATGGTCAATATTTCCATTTATTGACTGTGTTTAGCTGAACTACATCTGAGACCCAATACTTCTTATCTGTATCTTCTGGAGACAGAATGTGTACTCTAACAAGAACATGGGCCAGAACCTTAACAGTGTTGATTCGCCGGGTGGTGGTGGCGCACGCCTTTAATCCCAGCACTTGGGAGGCAGAGGCAGGTGGATTTCTGAGTTCGAGGCCAGCCTGGTCTACAGAGTGAGTTCCAGGACAGCCAGGGCTACACAGAAAAACCCTGTCTCGAAAAAACAACAACAACAAAAAAAAACAAAAACAAAACAAAACAAAAACAAAAACAAAAAAACAAAAAAACAGTGTTGATTCAAAGCTTCTTCAAGAATGACAAACATGCTCGAAGCTCCTGTGGTTCACATTATTTTTAAGTAAAACAAAATAAGTGGGGCTGGAAAGATGAGTTAGCAGTTAAGAGAACTGGTTGCTCTTCTGGAGGATCTGGGTTTGATTCTCAGCACCCACACAGCAGCTCACAACTATCTGTAACTTTAGGTCCAGGTGATCCAATGCCCTCTTCTGGCCTCTGAGCACTAGGCATGCAAGTGGTACACAGACACACATGAAGGAAAACATCCATACACATACAATAAAAAAAAAAATAGGGGGGAGGGGAGAAAACAGCAGGAGCATCATTTGCAAACTGCGATAAATGGATGGAGCTTAGTTCTATCTGGGCTGAGATCACCTTTTCTCTTACTGAGCATCCAGAGCCTGAAATCTATTACAGTTCAACAGAGGTGACACACACTCAGAAGTATGAACTGCAAACTCACAAGGACAACTTGACAGCATGTGTCAAACATCTTTTTTTTGTTTGTTTTTTGTTTTTCGAGGCAGGGTTTCTCTGTGTAGCCCTAGCTGTCCTGGAACTCACTCTGTAGACCAGGCTAGCCTCAAACTCTCGAACTCAGAAATCCGCCTGCCTCTGCCGCCCAAGTGCTGGGATTAAAGGCATGCGCCACCACCGCCCGGCTATGTCATCACTGCCCGGCTATATGTCAAACACCTTAAGCATGTACTTCATCCACTAAATCTACTGCTGGGAATTCCTACAGAAATAATCACTAATGCAAAAAGATTTAGCAAAGCTATGTTAACTGTATCACTGTCAGTATGGTGAGCAAGGGAAGACAGCCTCAATGTCAAATAAGAGAGCATCAGCTAAATACGCTGTGATTCATACAGACAGTGGACAGAGAAGCTACTAATGGATCTGAAATGCACTGGCATGGAAAGCTATGGTAAGAGAGTAGTTTAATACAGTGTGATTTTATTTTAGTCTCTGTCTCTCTGCCTTTCTCTGCCTGCCTCCCCCTCCCCCCCATACACACACACACACACACACACACACACAGAGAGAGAGAGAGAGAGAGAGAGAGAGAGAGAGAGAGAGAGAGAGA